CACATCTCTTAAAACCGCTAAAATCTTCTCAATGCTATGCCTCACTGCAAAATAAAAAAAGAAAAACAAATAAATACTGCCTACTTGCCATATAGGCAGCCTAGCGTAATTTTCCTTATGGTGTGGGTGCTGATATCACTACCACCTCACCTCAAAACTAATAACTTCAGAACTGCTAGATGTAATAGGATTTAGCCATAAGATATAAAATTCGAAAGTAAGGTGGCTTTCAAGCTTAATTTTAATTAGTTTGTGCTTTGTGGTGGAAACGTTTCAAGCTAAAGGAATTATTAATATAGTGGGAGAGAGAGAGAGAGAGAGAGAGAGGAGGGCAACGAGAAAAGAAATTAAGAATTGCAAAATATATTTCTATTTTACATAATCCGATGAGCAACAACAATAACAATTTCACAGTCAATGCAATGAAAATGAAATTTTCATTTCAAAATTGGCATTGCCAACCACACCACAAGTAGATTTTAATGAATTGATCTGAGAGGTGTTGGTTGCATTTGAAAAGAACAAATGCAGATTGGGCGCCAAGTTGTAGTTTCAAAAGTCACATTAAAGTGAAGGAGTTTACTAAAACTTGAGGGATTCCTTGGATTTTGCATCAAACCCAACCTTTAATGAATTGCCCTGATTGGTGTTGGTTGTATTTGGAATGAACACATTTAGATTGGGCGCCAAGTTGTAGTTGCAAGCGTCACATTAAAGTGAAGTAGTCACCCAAAATGTTGGGGATCTCTTGGATTTTACAAAGAAATGTTGCTCAGGTTATTTGAACCTAGATATTATAATGATAAAACCAGTAAAGAAAGTCCTAAAGTCGGGAGGGGCCGGATTTTATGATACCCTACACCACTTTGCTAATTTAGTTGAGCTCCACTTAATAATTAAAAGTTTTTATGGGAGAATTCAATCATACACGCTATGATTATAATTATAATTTAAAATTCAAAGGACTAAATATGCCGAAGCATTTGTATCTTTTAAATTCGGACTTGTATTGCCCATTTGGTGCGAAATTAATTTGAAATCGTATAAAAATATATCTGGGAACTATATCCAAATCTGAACCGATCTCGATAAAATTTTGGCAAAGATATTTCTGAGCTGTATTTGAGATATTTCCCTGAATATCGTTGTTAAGGAGTGCATATTACGGCTGTGGGTAACAAATACAACAAATCGGATGAACAATATATATGGGAGCTATAACTATATCTGAACCGATCTTCACCAAATTTGGCATACTACCTTCTATGTGCCAAATTCCATCCCATTTGAAGTTATATATGGGAGCTATATCCAAATCTGAAACGATCTCGATAAAATTTAGCAAAGATATTTCTCAGCTGCATTTGATATATTTCCCCAAATATTGTTGTTACAGAGTGCATATTACGGCTGCGGAGGACAAAAATAACAAATCGGATGAACAATACATATGGGAGCTATAGCTATATCTGAACCGATTTCGATAAAATTTGGTATACTTATTTTCAGGCCTAATTTGGTTGTATGTGCAAAATTCCATAATATTCGGGCTGATATAACACGTTTGGTGCACAATAAAATGCAAATCGGACGAAGATATATATGGGAGCTATATCTAAATTTTTACCGATTATCTCCAATTTCAATAGGGTTCGTCCTTGGGCCAAACAAATGTTGTTTGCAAAATTTCATCTCAATCGGATAATAAATGCGACCTGCATTTTGTTCACAAGAATACATGGACAGACGGACGGACGGACGGACAGACGAACTGACATGCATAAATCAACTCAGAAAGTGATTCTATGCAGATCATCAAAAGGAACTATGGATCTATCTCGTTTCCGTTTGCCTGTTACAAACAAATGCACAAAGACATAATACCCTGACCACCTTGTGGTGTATAAATATGATCAACTCTCTCTCTTTCCGTATTAGATGGTAAAGAGAAAGAGAGAGAGTTGCGCTCTTATGTAGAGTAGTGAAAAATAAGAAGTGTTCAATCGTTTCCTTTTCATACCTAACTCTTTCTAGGCAAATTAGTTATCTCAGTGTGAATTTCACTTTTTACTAATAGTTTGGAAATACTAAAGCTAGAATCTTGAAATTTTGCACAAGGGTCAGTCATGGGGCGTAAGGCTGGGTTTTTGGAAATTCGTACTAAAAGACAAACGGAATGAGCTAGAATTTTTTGAAATTATAAATAAGCATCACTGATGGAGTGTAGGATGCAGGATACACTCCGTACAGGATAGCACTGAATTTTTGGAAATTAAAACTTTAAAGGTACGAAAATGTGTAAAATGGTACTAATCTTCTAAAATGGTACAATTTGGTATTATGTGTACGGATAGAGTTACAAACTTTAAATTTGGTATGAGAATCATGGTTGGAAAGTACGTTTCATATGTGAAGTTGATTTTGGAAACGTGTACTTAGTGTGCGAACTGGTACTAAATTTGGAAAAGTTTGCTTTAGGGTGAACGGATGAAGCTGGAATTTTGTAATTTTGTATTTGGGCCTCTGTTGGTGGTAGGTTTGTGATAAAGACGTGGTTTTGGAAATATGTACTACAAGTGCACGAAAAGTGCTAAATAGTACTATATTTAGTACAATTTGGTATTAGGATCGATGTTTATGCGTAGCCTGGATATTTGGAGGTGATTTCGGAAATGTGAAAGTACTGAATGGTACTATATTTGGTACTGGCTGAAGCGATAAGGTTGAAATTTTATATTAAGGTAACTGTTAGTATCGGGGATTGGGATAATTAGGTGGTTTTGGAAATGTGTGCATGAAAATTACTAAAAAGTACTGTATTTGGTTTGGGTGAACAGATGTTGCTTGATAACTGAAATTTGTAATTGTGCTGTGTGCTTTAATTGTACGAAAAGTACTTAGTAGTTCTAAATTTGTTATTCTCTAAAGGGATCGAGCTGGAATCCCGAAATTTACATTAAAATCTTTGTTGGTGTCTGGAATTGAGATATTGTGGTGGTTTCGTTAATTGTACGAAATTGTACTAAATTTGGTATTGGGTCAAGGGATAGATCTAGAATCCTAAAATCTGATATGAAGGTATTTGTTGGTATCAGTGATTGGGAAAGTACTGAGTGGTACTAAATTCGTTATTTTGTGAAAGATAGAGCTCGAATTCTAAAATTGTATATGGATGTCACAGTTGCTGCCTGTGGATAAGATATGGAGGTGTTTTAGAAATATAATTGCTCGAAATCTACTAAATGGTGTTTAATTTGGTATTGGGTGAAGGCATAGATCTGGAATCCTCAATTTTGATAAGGAAGCCATTGTTGGTATCTGTGGTTAAGATGTGGAGGTGATATTTAAAATGTGTACTATAATTGTTCGAAAAGTACTAAGTGGTACTAAATTTGTATTGAGTGAAAGGATTGAGGTTGAATCCTGATATTTGATGTATACTTCACTCTTGGTTGATTAACATATGGAGGTGGTTAGGAAATGCGTACTATATAGTTGTTCAAAATGTACTAAGAGGTGCTAAATTTGGTATTGAGTAAAGGAGTAGAGCTGGAATCCTGAAATTTGTGATTGAGGTCTCTGTTGGTATTTAGGATTGAGATTTGGCGGTGGTTTGGAAATGCTTCCTATATTTGTATGAAAAGTATTAATCCCTAATAAATTTGGTATTGGAGAAAGGAATAGAAGTGTAATTCGGAAATTTGATATTGAGGCCTCTGTTGGTAGCAGAGATTGAAATAAGTTTTATGTTTTTTTTGGAAGTGTATAGTACACACTTCAAAAAAAAATGTACGAAAAGTACTAAATAGTTCTACATATGGTATTGGGTGATGGAATAGAGTTAGAATCCTGAAATTTAATATGGATGACACTGTAAGTGTCTGTAGTTAAGATAATGAGATGGTATTGGAAATGTGTTCTACATTTGTACGAAATGTACCAAATTTGTTACTGGATGAAGGAATAGAGCTGGAATCATGAAATTAGATATTGAGATCTCTGTTGGTATCTGGGATTGAAATATGGAAGCGCTTTTGGAAATGTGTACAATAATTGTACAAAATGGTACAAAATTTTGAATTGGGTGAAGGCATAGGACTGAAATCTTCAATTTTGATAATGATGTCTTTGTTGGATTAGATATGGAAGTAATTTTGGAAATGTGTACTAAATGGTACTAAATTTAGTATTGGGTAAAGAATTAGAGTAGGAGTCCTGAAATTTGATATGGATATCACTATTGGTGTCTGTAGTTGAGAGAAGAAGCTGGTTTAGGATAGTTGTACTAAATGGTAAAAGATTCGGTAGTGGGGGGGGGGGGGGGTAAATTACAGAGTTGAAATCCTGAAATTTGATATTTAGATAATCCTTGGAAAACTTGAGTAATATATAAAACCGAACATTCTTAATTAAAAAAGCTTGTCAAACAGAACAAATTGTGAATTTGCCTAATATGAACTGTTGGAACGAATCTGAAATTTTCACGTAGACTTTTCATTGACGAAGTAGAGACCACTGGCTAATTTCTTATAATTCTGAAAGAAGCATATAAGCCTCTTTTTCGGCTATTGGTCCCCGACCAAATTTTAGGTCTTGAATGTTTCATTGACTTTGGGATTCCGTTATCTGTTCTAGCCACGTGTACATCCAAGTGTATTGTAAGCAGCTGCAGTGATGGCGATGTCCCAGAAAATCATTTGTCCCAAAAATCAGCAGCTTAAACAAGCTCTCGAAGTTCTGGCCATCACCCTGGACGCAATATTTTAGGTTGTGGTGTCTATTGAAAAATAATAGCTTAGTGTCTCCCGATTTCTCAATTATTTGAAAGATGTGGCCACATCTTCCAGACTTTTGCTTTCTAAGTGGACAGCTTTTCCACACTTTAAATCTTTAGAAACATAGAATGAGACTTGTCTACCGAAAATCCAAACTATTTGACACTATTTACCAATTTTGTCCTTTTCCATTCGTTTATTAATTTTTTTCTTTCTTATTTTCAGGTCATCACAATTGTCCCTCAGGTTTCGATGAATCCGAAGAGGAATGTGGTACAGCACGCAAACTGCTCGAACTACCTGGCGGTGTGTTCGCGGCGTTGGGCTGCATAGCGGCGGCCATAACCGCTTGCCTGATATTCTGCATATTTGGCTTACTGAGAAAACGTAAGAAAACTGTATTACAAAAATCTATTATTAATGGTGGTACTTTGAAAAAGGATTTCAAAAAAGACTCGCTCTTTATTGATCCGTCTTCCTGACACGGGCTGCAGCCGGTCGAATATATACATGTCGATCGGGAGACCACAGTGTGATGTGATGCCAGCAACGAGGCCAGCCTGGAAAGACGAAGAATTGTTTTATTAGTAATTATAGGTACTACTATATAAAAAAGAATTAAAAAACACACATACACACACAAAGAAATTGAGAGCGTAAGCGATATGGGGAGTGATCTCGGGGAGTTATGTGAATGGAAATAGAAGCGAAAAGCCAAACTCTACTGTATACTAATGGAAACACACACAATAGCAATTATTGGTACTACAAGACGGAGGAGAAAGATGAAAAAGGGGGAGATGGGAAGAGACACCCCTCTCCCCCCAAAAAAGATTTTTCTAAATGCTTGAAAACAAAAAACCAACCAACTCTTTATAGCGTAAAATAATTATACTTTAAAACAAATCAGTATTAAGGAGCAAAAATACTTTATTATATGAGGAAAACACAAAAAAAAAACTACCACAGCAACAACAAAAGCAACAACAAGGAAGATGATGTAGTAGCAACAAAAGAAAATTACTTTACAACCAAAAATAAGTTTTATGAGTTTTTGTGTTTTTTCCACAACAATAACAACAACGCCATCATCATCATCGGAACAACTTTTGCAAAAGGATTTTACTTTTTTGTACCATCATCGACATCGACAACAAAGAATACAACAACATCATAAAGCCGCAAAACATGTAGTCAAAGAAGAAGACAAGGACGACGACGACGACGAAGTAGAAGAAGGAGACAAAATCAATACAATCACTGCCTTAAAACAAAAGAAAAAAAAACGAAACTATGAAACTATTTCAAATGATATTGAATTTTCTTTAATTAATTATTACTACCTATATTTATGAAATGTGTATTTGAAACAAGTAACAAATGAAATGTGAAATTATGATCGGTGTGGGGTTGAATGTGTGATACTGCTAAATGCAGTATGTAATTTTAAACTTAAATTCCAAACACAAAATAAAAAAAAGGATTTTTGAAATTTAGGCTCTATTCTTGTTCTATGACTATCTCTTTAAAGGAAAAAAATATTAAGTTTTTTGGTCCATTTCAACCCCTAAATATATGGCGATCATCTCCAAAAAGAGTAGGCTTCTGTTCTGACCCTCATCTTATCCCCATGCAAAATTTTGTAAGGATCGGGCCATAAATGCGATCTGTATATGATATCCTGATATCCTAAAAACTTAGTTTTTTTAGCTGTAGAAATATTACCAAATGTTTAATTCAGAATGAAAATATGCCAAAAATACGACAAAATTTTTACAAATTCAAATTTAATAAAAAATGAGCTCGAGGTCTTTGTTGTTGTTTAATTATTTATTATTTTCGATATTTCGTCCTCCAACGGAAGACATCATCAGGAACAATACTGTTTAAACATATAACAAAATTTTACAAAATATCGCTGAGCTTCGACGCCGACCTTGTGTTGTTGCCATCTGTTTTGTCACTGCAGCATTCCCTTCTTATTGTATATCTTTGTTTATTTTTCTAATCAGATGTCTGTAACTGTTTGCTAGATTCTCTGTGTCTGTTTTGTAGTTTATTCGTTGTGATGTTGGAGTATTCATTATGTGTAGAGTTTCCAACATAAGTCGCTTTTGGTAGTTGTTCTCGCACTGTAGCACTCTCACTCTCTCTAATTCTGGATGATGTTGTTCGGTGGCACAGTGGGTAGAAAGTGCTGTTTTCTGTGTTGTGATTGATGACCTGTTTTTAATGTCTGATTTGTGTCCGGATAATCGTGTTTTTAATTTGTTTTTTGTTGTCCCGATGTAATATTTTTGACATTTTTCATTTTCGTTGCCGTTGCATTTTATTTTGTATATTAAATTTGATTTGTCCATAGTGTCTATTTTTGGTTTTAATTGAGTAAATAGTTTTTGTAACGTATTGTAGGTTTTTGGCGCAATTGAGTAATTGTTGTCTTCATAACATTTGGAGTTTTTAAAGCGTTCGGAAAGTCCGGGTATATAAGTGACCGATTTATAGCATTTATTTTGTTTTTCCGTAGTTTGTCGCTTTTTATTATTTTTATAGTATTGATTTATTAAAATATTTATGGTTTTTAAAGGGAAACTATTTTTAGTCAATATTGAAGTTATTTTCTTTATGTTTTCTGTATGAAATTCTTTGTCGCTAATATTTAACACGCGATTGATAAAGTTCGATGCCGTGTTCATTATTATTGTCTTTGGGTGTTTCGAATGAAAATTGACTAATCTCCCCGATGCCGTAGGTTTCTGGTACCAATTCGTCCGTATTGTGTTTTCTTTCCTTGTTATTAATAAATCTAAGTATGGAAGTTGGCCATTGCTTTCTTTTTCTATGGTAAACTTAATGCGATGATCGTAGCTATTGAATATTGTCAGTAAATTGTTTATTGCACTTGATTTAGTAATTCCAAAAAGGTCGTCAACGTATTTTGTCAGAAACTTAGGTCTAATATCACAGATTTCCATACATCTATCCAATAGTTCTTCCATCACAATATCGGCTACTATCGGAGATGCTGCGGACCCCATGGGAAGACCTTTCCTTTGTTGATAAAAGTTATTCTTATATCTAAAATAACGGTTATCACAGATGCAAAATTTAAGTATTTTTATGAATAAACTCTTTGAGATTTTTGTCACTGGTTCTAGGTCTTTCCATTTTTCTTCTATTATTTTCAATGCTAGTTCGACTGGAACACTTGGGAAAAGGGAAACCACATCGAGTGAAAAGAAGCTCTCGTCATCCTGAATATTTGTTTCCTTTATTCGTTCTTTGAATTGTTTGGAGTTTTTTACATTATATTTTGAATTAATCGTAAGTTGATTGAGTATGGACGTTATATACCTGCATAGTTTTGTTGAAGGTGCATTGATTGATGAGCATATGGGACGGAGTGGATGCCCTTCTTTGTGAATTTTAGGTAAACCGTAAATTCTCGGGGCAACGGCCGTGTCTGTTTTCATATTTTTCTTTTCCCTTTCGTTAATAAAACCATTTTTAAATAATTCGTCAACTAGTTCGTTGTTTTTCTTTTGTAGTTTGTATGTAGGGTCCGAGCTTACTCGCTTATATGTCATTATGTCATTTACTATTGTGTCCATCTTCTTATCGTAATCTAATCTTTTCATGGCGACCGTTGTATTGCCTTTGTCTGCTTCCAATATAATTATGCTTTTATTTTCTTCCATAAATTTTCTAGTTTGTTTCACTGTGCGTAAATAGTATTTTTCTCTTTCCGATAGTTGATGTTTGTTCATGTGATTCTCTATCATTGATGTGAAGTTGTTTCTCGCTATCTCCTGATTCTCTTTGTTTCCAATGGTTTTTATGCAGTCTTCTCCGTCCGCTATGTATTTGAGTAGAGGGAACTCTTCTTTTGTATGTGGAAGAGCAAACTTTTTACCATGTGAGAGTAGCCAGTTTACTTCATCGGGTATTTCTGTGTCAGTTAAGTTTACGAACCAGTGTTTGTTGTGTTGTATTTCCAGCTCTTGCTTCTGTTGTTCTTGTAAAGCTTTGAATTTCTTTTTGTGTTTTTCTTTTATGTCTCTAAACGTCTTTTTTGATATTTCATTTTCACATTCAAAGAACTTATTTGCATCATTTTCCGACAATATTTGTTTTATATACTCCCTTGTTGCGTCTATTTTATTATTGTTTATTTTTTTCAGTTCGTGTTTTTGTTTAATCAGTAAGTTTAAGATCTTTTTATGAAAATTCCCTATGTAGACCTTTAATCTATTTTGTAGTTGTATTGGTACTCCTTCGTTTGTTTCAAATATTTTGTTAATGTTTTTGGTCGCGTTTTTTATAAAGTTGGGCGTTATTCCAGATCTTCTGCATTTAATTAAAAATATTGTTGTGGAGTTGGTGTTTAGTTGTTTGTCACATTCATTTCTATATTTGTTTATATGTTTTCCAATATTTTTGTGTTTTAGTTTAAGTTGTTGGTAAACCATTTTGATTACGGCGTGCTCTCCGTGTTTTAATTATTTGATTTTTAGATATTTAATTCGACCTTTATTATATATTTTTACAAATTCAAATTTAATAAAAAATGAGCTCGAGGTCTTTGTTGTTGTTTAATTATTTATTATTTTCGATATTTCGTCCTCCAACGGAAGACATCATCAGGAACAATACTGTTTAAACATATAACAAAATTTTACAAAATATCGCTGAGCTTCGACGCCGACCTTGTGTTGTTGCCATCTGTTTTGTCACTGCAGCATTCCCTTCTTATTGTATATCTTTGTTTATTTTTCTAATCAGATGTCTGTAACTGTTTGCTAGATTCTCTGTGTCTGTTTTGTAGTTTATTCGTTGTGATGTTGGAGTATTCATTATGTGTAGAGTTTCCAACATAAGTCGCTTTTGGTAGTTGTTCTCGCACTGTAGCACTCTCACTCTCTCTAATTCTGGATGATGTTGTTCGGTGGCACAGTGGGTAGAAAGTGCTGTTTTCTGTGTTGTGATTGATGACCTGTTTTTAATGTCTGATTTGTGTCCGGATAATCGTGTTTTTAATTTGTCCCGATGTAATATTTTTGACATTTTTCATTTTCGTTGCCGTTGCATTTTATTTTGTATATTAAATTTGATTTGTCCATAGTGTCTATTTTTGGTTTTAATTGAGTAAATAGTTTTTGTAACGTATTGTAGGTTTTTGGCGCAATTGAGTAATTGTTGTCTTCATAACATTTGGAGTTTTTAAAGCGTTCGGAAAGTCCGGGTATATAAGTGACCGATTTATAGCATTTATTTTGTTTTTCCGTAGTTTGTCGCTTTTTATTATTTTTATAGTATTGATTTATTAAAATATTTATGGTTTTTAAAGGGAAACTATTTTTAGTCAATATTGAAGTTATTTTCTTTAT